TTCCCTCTTGCCTCGGCTGGGCTGGGGCTCAGTCTGTTGTCTGGTCCCTTGTCATAGCTGCTGTTATAATGATTCATCCATCTGGTTTTCTGGGAAAAGAAGCAGAGCTGGGAAATGTTTCTTCTCCTTTTTTCCCCTTGTTTTTTGGCTGTTTCTCTCCTCAGACACAACTCCGCACCCGCGGAGGGGATGGAGCTTTGCACATTGTGGCTGGAGCAGAGGAGTGACGAGATGCCCATTCCTCAAACCCAGACCGTCACAGTGATGTCCTTACCCACATTTCCAGGAGCAAAAAAGGATCTAACAAAGGGATGCAGGCCACCTTCAGTGGGTGCACTGGACAAATCCCCATGCTGGTGCACTCCAGGGTCCCCTGCATCCAAAGGGATCCCCTCCATCCAAAAGGGGGCCCCTGGGTTTCCTCCTTCATCTGGTTCTCTGCCTGCCTGAGCTCTCCAGCAATGCTGTGGGATGAACTGCAGCTTGGGAAGAAATCCAGGCGGAAAACATTGACACCAGAGGGTTTCTCATTGGGTTCAAACAGCTGCTCTCATAACTGGTGTATTTATCATGTATTAGGTAATAATAGGGGGGTAGGAAATACCCTCAGAGTTCACACTGGATGATATTTAATCCCACAGTGCACGAAGCAGCCACACTGGTTTTTCCTTGCTGGTTTGTACTGGACAAGGACCAGTATTGCTTCGTTGGAGACAATGCACCCATCCAGCTGGCAGCAGCGAGGTAACCCACCTCTGGGGTAAGGGAAGTGCCAATGCAGCCTCTCTTTGCCTGCAGCCCTTAGAAACACTGATTTAAACAAGCCAGAGGAGATCTCTTCTTTTTCTCCCTCCTTGTTCCGGGAACACATCTTCCTTGGTCCAAGTTTGGTCACAGGTTAGACTGGGAGAGCAGCAGCTTGCCTGGGAGCAATCCTTCCTGCATGCAGACACAGACTGACAGATTTCCAGCCAACAGGTCATGTATCAAAGTTCCACTTCTCCATGCTGCTAAAGCAAACCTTCCTGTGACAAATGCCTCCCTTTACACCGCTGTGATGTCTGTTACAGTGAAACCCAGATCTGCCTTGAACCCACCAGCACAGGAACTGCCCTCTCCCCGGTCCAGCATCCTTCCTCTCTCATCCCCCTTTTCACTGCCAACACCTTGTGCTCCTCACCAGCCTCTACTCGCGTTTGCCCCTTCCATGATTTCATCCCAAGTGGGTGGTGAGTTTGCTCCCCCCCCTGTGAGCAGCCTCTTCCCAACAGCTCCTGGGATCCCTGCCAGCTCCACTCCACCCACTGCTTCTCCTGCTGAAGCAAAACCATGCAGCTCCTGATGCTTCCCGGGACAAAGGCAGCATCGCATGTCTGCTGGGGTGGCTTGGGAAGGGGAGCTGCTGAGCACCCGTTTAGGTATGAGCTAGGTACGAGCCCCCCTCTATCCTTCATCCCAGCACTTCCCATCTCCATTGCTCTATGCATCCCTGCAGCCGAAGGGATGCCCTGGCTTTCCTCCTGTTGTTGAAGTGACTTCTGAAGAACACTGCAAACCCAAACTACATTTGCAAACAGCGGTGTGGATCCAATACTAAATGAAAACTGGCATCTACCTAGCTATCCATCTATTCATCATCTATCTATCCATCATCTATAGATCTATCTATCTAGTTACTCCTATTCAAGAGCAGGCAATTCAAAAGTAACCTAGCACAGGTTGCCAAGAGAAGCTGTGGCTGCCCCATCCCTGGCATGCATCCATCTATCTCTCTATCCACTTACCTATGGGTTACTCCTATTCAAGCATAGGTGATTTGTGGTTAGGCGCTGGCACAGGGTGCCCAGAGAAGCTGTGGCTGCCCCATCCCTGGCAGTGTTCAAGGCCAGGTTGGACACAGGGGCTTGGAGCAAGCTGCTCTAGTGGAAGGTGTCCCTGCCCGTGGCAGGGGTTGGAGCTGGAGGAGCTTTAAGGTCCCTTCCAACACAAACCAGGCTGGCATTCTATGATGAGCCAACTGGTCCCACGGCTTCAGAGACTGTGCAGCTCAACAGCACCCTGCAAAGCAGATGTGACTTGGATTTCCAAACTGTGTTAAACCAGAGCATCAAAGCAGAGCACAGGAGAGGGTCTCAAACGTCTTGGGCTCCTCCCCCCCTGACCCCAGCTTAGCCACAGTCATAAAAATGCATCTTTTGATGCCATTTCTGGGCTGGCAGCCGGGTCCTGCTGCCACCCTGCGCTAACACAGCGCACGCAAGGACTCAAGTACTTGCTTTTACACTCGCCCTTACCAAACCTTTTCAGCAGTCTGGTCCCTCAGGCCTGTTTACACTGGGGGGGGGGAAGTCAGAGCTCAGCAACAGCACCAGAAAAACTCCAGCATCGCCAATGAACATTTTGGGGTGGTGACAAACAAAGCCCTGCTCTGGTAGTGCCTGTGGGAAGGCTGGATTGCGCGTTAGTCATGGGTGTCTTAGCATTACCAGGCTCATCTCAGCTACAACGTGGGGGGTTTCTACCATTGTTCCACTTAGAAGCTCCCCAATGGGAATGTTGAAACACCGAAATCTGCACGTTCACATGTACTGAAAGCAAATGGTTGGACTTGATCTTAAAAGGTCTTTCCCAACCTAGTTTGTGCTTCTGTGATTCTCTTCCTATTATGAACACTTGCGCTGTGATTTCAGCTCTCACGCTGCGAAGTCTTCACATGACAGCTTATTTGAAAGCCTGGGAATCCATGATAATTTCCATTAATTTCCTGAGAAATACACCTTTCCCTGATGCATTTCTTGAGCAGATTCTGATCTCTGAGGATTTGGCACCTTTCAGCCATCAGCTGATTTCCCATCAGCCCCAGGCAGTTCTAGCAAGGCAGAAGTATTTGGGACACTATCCAGGCTGCTCCACAGGAACAACAGGCAAAACTAATGATTAAATAATGGCAAAATCCAAGGGAGAAAATCACTTTGTGGCCATCCAGAAGCTGTTAAAGCACTGGCCACCTCACCTGTGCTTACAGCTTTACAACTGCCAGGCTGGTTTAGAATCACAGAATAGAAACATAGAATGCTTTGGGTTGGAAAGGACCTTAAGATCATCCAGTTCCAACCCCCCTGCCCTGGGCAGGGACACCTCACACTAAACCATGTCACCCAAGGCCTCGTCCAACCTGGTCTTGACCACTGCCAGGGATGGAGCATTCACAACCTCCCTGGGCAACCCATTCCAGTGCCTCATCACAACTTACAAAGTGGCATTTGAGCACCTTCCAAGTAAATCCATTAATTATGTAGTAATCCATTTTGTATTAACCCCCCCATGCAGTGATGAGATGATAGCTGAAGAAGTGAGGATGTCAGAAGGAAATGCGATGTCCATGCTCTGCAGTGCCAGGGACTGCTTGGAAACCCATACCACAGCCAGCTCCTCCAGGCTGTGTCAGGCTTTACAGGCTGGCATCCAGACAGACAGATGCAGGGCTTGACATGTTCACAGGATCACAGAATGGTTTGGGTTGGAAAGGGACTTAATATCATCCAGTTCCAGGGATGCCTCACACTACACCATGCAACCCAAGACTGTGCAATCTGGCCCTGAACACTGCCCTGCTTTGAAATGTAGAGCCCAAAGCAATCTCTGCAGCAATCCTATTAAGAGTGCTAGCACTGGGATACTGACCTCAAATCCTCAGGATTCCAAAGTTCACCTCTCCTTTTTGTGGCAAGTGCCCATGAAAATCCCCTCCTTTGACCCAAGGAGGAACTGGTTTCATGGACCTTCCAACACTGAAGCCAAGTCACCTCCTGCCACAGCTGCTTCTCCAGAGAGGAAACCTTGGGAAGAGACAGACCATGATGCTGAGAAGGCAGCACTGATACAAGCTGCGCGTAAGACAACTCCATGGGGTAACATGGGCAGGAGAGCAGGCAGCTCCACATCTCACCTTCATCTGTTGTAGGAAAGCAAGACAAGAGCAAGAAAGTCATAGGGAAAGGTTATGTTGCCTCTGATTTCAAGGAGCTGAATGGGAATAGCTTCTGGGCAAAGGTCTGTGATCATTACACTGACAGAACATGCAGGAGGACCCTCTTTCCTGCTCAAAAACAGAGGCAGGAGCATGGAACTGGTCCAGCTTCAGGCCTGGAATCTAAAGTTCTGCTTGTTACAAGGGGAGATGCATTTCCAGCATGATGGAGAACAGGAGCCACCAGTCTGATGAACGTCATGTTAGCAAACAGGACAGGCTGCCTTGAATGACACACAGGAACAGAAAACCTCTTGTGTATGCAGGCAGCATAACTAAGCTTGCTTTGCTGTTTGCTTCACTGCCCTCACTGTAACTGATTTACCAGAGGAGATACCTAGAAATCATAGCACTGTTTCTGTCAGGATTACCCCAACAAGCAAGAATTTGCTCTCTCCAGGCATCTTTAAATCGCTGTGAGCTTTAACAGCAATTTAAAGGCTGTTTCACAGCACAGCAAAGCTCTGCCAACACAAGCCTCTGCTGCTTCATCCTTAGCAAAGGCCCCAGCTGGACACAGCCACACCACCCGGATCCACTGTCCTTGCTGCCCATTACAGCACTAGAAATGCATGTGAGGACACATCAGCTCCTTCCCCAGCAGGTTATTCTGGGCTGCCAAGCCCCAAACAGGCTTCAACAAACCAGGAAGCATCTTGTAGAATATCACAGTCTTATTTCCTCCTCCTCTCTCTTTTGTAATCACGTTACACTGCATGCGTCATCAATGCAAGGATGAGGATGCTGTGCATCGGTTCTGACCCTCCATGTATTGACCAAGAAGACAAAGCAGTTCACCATCAGCGTCATCCCACACTCCTACTCAACATCAGCAGGGCATTTGCCTCTCCAGATTCCCAGTATATGATAGATTTCACAGAACATCCTCCCACAGAAGCAAGACCTGATATTATGATGCAAGCTCACAGAAGTTTCAGACAAATTAATGGGACAATTGAAATTTAGGATCTCCATGGCAAAATAAATTGGTTTAATGCCTCATTAATAGCAAAGGGGTACACTGGACGACATTCCCAAAGTATTCTGTGTCAGATTTCCCAGTATATACCATCCTTCTCTCCCTCTTATCCCACCATCAAACACCTCTTATGTTAGTCCGGAACAGATTCTGGGGGAGAAGCAGCTGACTTCCATCCATTTCTGCCTTAGTTCAAGTATTTATTTCAATTCCACATCATTCCAGAAGACTGGCAACTCAACAAACTCTGCTGACCATGAAGCAATCCCCTTGCACATTACATTCAGTGATGCTGCAGGGCATCAAACAGCAGCATGGAGAGGACCTGCAAACAAACAGGGTGAGTGTAATACTGTGATACGTGAGCATCACTGTGAGACTGGTGCCATTCCCACAAGCAATGCTGTGCATCCAAACCTGCTCTGTGAATGTCTTCTGGTAGCTTTGAAAAGACCAAGAGCTGGGAACAAACAGGATCAAACCAAGGAACCCATTACCTCTGCTTTTCTCCTCCTCATAAATACATATCACAGAACCCCAGACTGGTTTGTGTTGGAAGGGACCTTAAAGCTCCTCCAGCTCCAACCCCTGCCACGGGCAGGGACCCCTTCCACTAGAGCAGCTTGCTCCAAGCCCCTGTGTCCAACCTGCCCTTGAACACTGCCAGGGATGGGGCAGCCACAGCTTCTCTGGGCACCCTGTGCCAGCGCCTCAGCACCCTCACAGGGAAGAGCTTCTGCCTAAGAGCTCATCTCAGTCTCCCCTCTGGCAGGTTAAAGCCATTCCCCTTGGCCTGTCCCTACAGGCCCTTGTCCAAAGCCCCTCTCCAGCTTTCCTGCAGCCCCTTTAGGCACTGGAGCTGCTCTCAGGTCTCCCCTTCAGGAGCCTTCTCTTCTCCAGGCTGACCCAGCCCAGCTCTCTCAGCCTGGCTCCAGAGCAGAGCTGCTCCAGCCCTCGCAGCATCTCCGTGGCCTCCTCTGCACTCGCTCCAACAGCTCCACGTCCCTCTTTTACACCGAAACATTTGTGTTCATGAAGCACTTTTCTTCCTTCTTTCCCACATTCTCTCCCTTCTTTCCCCCGTTGCTGCAGGAGAGATTTGACATGGAAGAGGACAAAACCCTCTAAGCACAGGGATGCACAAGCAACAGTACTCACGTCTGAGAAGCCTTTCACAACATCCAAGCATTTGGCAGCTCCATTGCTCCTTGCTATATGGCACAAAGAGAGAACATTACTACAGCTTAAACCCCTCTTACCTGTCAGCAATTGCAGTTTCAATAAGCTGGTGTTGTGGGATCACTTTGCAACTGGTTCTTCACACAAGAAACCATTTAAGCAATGGTCTGTATGGGAGCTACTTAAGCAGTGCGTGTACTTCTAATACTATGTATAGCTCGTAACCTCGACAAGACCAGCCCCCCTAAAATATGTATGTGGGCAGGTGTCAGCTCTCTGCATCACTCTGCAAAAACACATCCTGCCAGTCATGCTGTATTCACAGGATTTTCATCATGTCTAGATTAAGGGCTAACCTACAGCCTTTTGTACCAAACACAGTGCTACCCACTTCCCAGAGCTACACCTATAAAAGGCAGGCAGATCCTGAGGGTGGATTTCGGAAATGGATGGAAGTGAGAGACTCAGAAAGAGGCCATGAGCTTTCCATATGAAGACCCTTTTGGTTGGTGATTATCTGATCCCTTCTTAGTTAAAAAAGATACACAACTAATGGTAGCATCCCTGGCAGTGCTCAAGGCCAGGCTGGACAGAGCCTTGGGTGACACGGTCTAGTATGAGGCGTCCCTGCTCATGGCTGGGGGTTGGAACTAGGTGATCTTAAGGTCCTTTCCAACCCACACCATTCTATGATTCTATAAACCAGTGAAGAGACAGAGCAGAGGGGAAGAGAAAGACAGATTTGCTGCCAGTAACCAACCACAACCTTAGAAATGCCCCAAACGCTCAAAAGCTGCTCCAGTTGTTTCCAGCCTGTAGCTGTTTCTGAGTTGCCCCACATGGAATAGTGGGGGAAGTCTCATCACCAGTCTGTTTTCACCAGCACATCTAGGAAAGTAGCCCCTGCTAGAGGGATGCTTTGCTGCAGGCTGGTCTCTGTTCTTAGCTCCCAGAAAGCTGGATGAAGTACAACAAGCTGGTCAAAGGATGAGTTTCAGGAATGATCTTCATGGGTAAGGAGATCCTGCTGCAACTGGGGACAAGAGCCACAGTTTGACACCCCACCTATGGCCAGTTGTGTTTGGAGAGCTGAAATTCCAGAGGAAACTTCTTAGGAAGGCCTTGGGAAGATGACTCTGGTGTTCTGCGGCTCACACTGTGAAGGGTGGAAGAGAGGAGAATGCAAAAAGCTCTCGGGCTGGCAATGAAACCTTTGACAAGATCTCACTTTCAGCGTGTCCAGAGAACAGTAACAGGAGATGGGAAGCTTTCCTGTTGCCATCTTTGTATTTCCTCATACCTCATGGATGGATCATTAAACCAACAGGGTGAGTTTGTTTGCTTTTCAGTTCACACTGACAATTCTCATCGGGAAAACCATCTCCCTTTACCTCCACTCTCAGTCCTGTGTGGCTTTCCAAACCGTTCCACCTTTAGACAGACGACCTAAATCAAGACCTTGTGTTACATGTTTTACATACTCTATCTACCAAAGATTGTCTTGTCTCCTAGGAAAAACCTCCAGCTATATAAAAGCACCTAAACCCGTAGTATTTCTGCATTGAGCAACTCGGTTCACTAAAGAAACACATTGTTTTCAGTCCTATTAAAGATCGCCTCTGGAGCCTGATGTATAAAAGTCACAAGGAGCAATTCCCCCATCACTATAACCGATTTCAAATGGTGCTAGAAAATATTATTGACTCTGAACACCAAAAGAAATCAGTCATCCTCTAAAGGGGTTACTGAGATCTGCAAGGAGGAAGAGTTAAAATGCTGGAGAGTGTTTTACACTGGAGGCTCCCCAGATACTTTGCAGTGTTAATGAATTAGCTCTGTGGCATCATTCACTGAAGAGTATTATAAATACTGTTAAAATAAAGGTTTAGAAAGTGAAAACTTTCAACATCAATCATCAGCTACAAACAGCTTTTAATAGGGAAAAGCTAATCTGAAACACGGACACCATGAGAAACCATTCACAGTCCAGTTCTCACACATGCTGGTGCTGGCCATGTCCATCCACTACAATGAGCATATCCAGCCTCAGTACTGGTAAGCTGAGTCACACAACATAAATAAGCATATTCAGATCTGCCAAACATGCCACAATGAAAAAGCAAACACACAGCATGGATGTCGAGAGCACCCAGAACTCTAGTGCTTAAATTTAACATCATCTGCTTTAAATTCTATTGTGTGTCTTGTATGATACAAGGTATTTACAAGGGAGGTAAAGAACTAACAGAAAATGATCTGTGTAAGGCTGAAACAGGTTTTGAGTTGAAAAGCAAGTGGAGCAGATGAAGTTCTCTTCCTTATCCCTCCCCACAGTGTTTGTACTAGATTTACATGAACATTTGCATTAACATCTTCAGTTCTGTGTTGCAATTCTGTATTACACTTCCTCGCACTGTTCACGCCTCGTAAGCCCTTCTCCATTCCCAAAGCTATGGCTCACCACCTATAAACATGCTGATGGCCAGCAGTATTACAGCAGAGATTCAAAGCATGCATTGCATTGCCCTCCTGAGGGTCACCATGGCCACAGACCCTGCAGTCCCAGCCTGCTGAGGAACGTAGTTTGGTGGTGGAGCCAACTGTCACAGCAGAAGCACCCAAGGAAGATCTTCACCTCCTCTTCTTTCCCATCAAGGCCTCTGAGGATCCCTTTGGCTGATGAAGGCAGGCATTCTTCCTCCAAGAACACTGATTTCAAATGGTGCTAGACAATGAATAGTTAAATCTAAACCACCATATGAAACCAGCTTCCTGAGGGAGCTTATTTCCAGCTGGGATGATATTCCTGAAACAATAAATTGCAAATGCCACAGAAGAATACCTATCCATGTTGGGGTTTTTATTCTTCCTATTAAATAGCTGATGCTTTTTTCCTTATTTTTACCCTTGATTTGAGTCATTATTTCTGTTTTCTATTACAGTGCTACCAATAGGAACAGAATTGCTTGCAGCAGAGTGGCTCGAAGCCTTTAGTCAGACAAGCTTGGAGAACATGTACAAGCGCTTCACCAGAAAAGCAGGACCTTCATCCCACTTTTATTACTGTCTCCTATTAAAACACTGCGAATCCATCCGGGAAGCACGGCTCCAAACTCCCTCTAGTGACAGCGAAAGGACGCGTGAAAGGCCTCCTGCAACACAGCTTACTTTTAAAAGCAGCAGCGTGCGACAGAAGCTCCGTATTAATGCTGAGATGTTGAATATTCCTCCTAAAGGGCAGCCCACCTGCCTCCCCTCACCGAGGTGGCTCTTTGCACCGTGAGAGAAAAGCATGTGCCCGAAAGCCTCACGTTAGGGACCGCATTAATTGCAGACTCCCCAGATCTGGCACTTACCACCTGGTCCCAGCACCACTTCCAAGAAGTCTGACACAGGCTTTTTTCCTGGAAGTCTGCTACTGAAACCATTGGCTCCCTTCAAACAGATGTTTTTTTTTTCTTGTGGATAACCTCCCTGCGACTCCTCCTCTGAGCTGGCAGCACAAACGCACCCCAATCGCATCTGCAGAACTGCAGGCTGTGGGGGGGGCTCAGGCTGATGCGTTCCCTGCATCCCAGCCTCCCAGCGAGGAACACAGCGCCAGGAGCAGTGCTGCACCGCAGGCACAGCATGTGTTGCCACGGCAGAGGGGGGCACAAGGAAACCACGTGCCCCAGGAGGGTGTCCAACACCACGGCTTGAAGGAAAACAACCAAAGCAAGCAGGCTGAGCCTCGGAACACAGGCAAGTCGCTTCGGTTACTGGAAGAGCTCTGACCATGCCAGGCCACATCAGCGCTGGATTTAGGCTGCAGCTATCCTGTCCAGAACGTGTCTGTGTGGAGCTGAGCAGGCAGGAAGCAGCTTGGCTGGGAGCAGCAGGGCTGAGCTGTGCTCGTGCCCATCTCCCAGGCTCTGTCCCCAGCAGACAGCTCGCTGGGAATATGCCATAAGGAACATGAATGCTTTAGCGTGGCTAAAAGAAAGCAGCTTCAAAGGGCGGGCAGGACTGAACTGTTTCCTCCAGCCATTCAACAGCCTCACTCTTTACCTTGCTGGAGTGTGCTGAAGAAGAGTGAAGCACCTTACTTTTCCCCTCTTACACTCAGTGCGCACTGTACCTGCCCCTGGAAGTCCTGTGAAGGCTGGTTTCAGTTGATTACAACCATCACCCAAGGTGAACCACTCTGTGGTCTCCTAAAGACAGCCAAACATCCTCCAACTCCTTCTCTTCAGGGGGCAGAAACCATGTGAAAAACCTAACTCTGGAGGTTTCATTAGCTACAGAGCTGCATCTCCCTTTCCATTTACCACAATGATAGTAAAACCAACCAGCTGAGACTAGAAACCCAACTGCTAGATGGCTGAAGATAGAGAAGAGAGATCTCAAACTAGTGTGGACAGTTCCCATGAGGGTATCTGTCAACAGCACAGCTACCACACGCCTCTCCAAGAAAATCTTCATGAGAACATCCAAGAAACCTGAGATCCATCTGGCAAACCAGGAAAGCAATGATGCTTCCCCCCAGCATCTTCCTTGGACAAGACAAGGCTAAATCCTGCTGCTCCATCTGCTCCTGTGCAGCTGCATTCGTGGGGCACATTGGATCCGAAGCCAGGGTCCAGCTGTCCGGATCTGTCTTTGCCACAAGCCCTAGAAGGGGTGCAGACAACAGCATCTCTGACTATGCAGGGAGCAGATCCTTCCCTTTAATATCATTTGCACTTTTGAAGAAAGCTTCTTTCAAAACTTGTAATAACTCTGCATGTTTCTAGAACACAGATAATGAGAAACACTCTCACATTAGGGCTGTAAACTGTCATTTCTAAATTGGAAAAGCAAATGAACTGCAGATAGAGAGCTATTGTACTTCTCTGAGATGCCTCCTCCTAATTAGGTCCTGCAAGTCTTAGAAGATGAATTCAGATCTTGAACTGCTCTGTCCTTCCTTCATTTAATGATGAGGAAAGCTGAGAGCAATCTTCTTGTTTAACTGGAAGGGAAGAAGAGGAACAGCAGAGATAATGTCTTTATATCTATGTAAGAGCTTGGGAAACAGCAAGAATTCATAGACTTAGATACAAGTTTTTGCTCCCAATTACATTTGTGTGCCTGTAGTTACATCTAACACTGCTCCACAATCTTCCAGAGATGACACGGCAGTGACTTAAGCCCTGATCTTAAATCCTTCGTAATTCACATGTTTTTATTTGACATTGATGGGATTACTTACACGAGGCAAGTTTTATCTGTGATTAAAGCACTGTGAGATCAGAGTTTACGATGGCTTAGTTTTGCTGCTGAATAATTCTCATGATTCACAGGTGGTTTCACTGCATGCAAATGCCTACCAGGTAACCAGCCCTCTCTCTTCCAGGGATGAATCCCTGCTGTTAAGCACTCGGAATAATATGTAACTGTGATCCCATCTTTAACTGCAAATGACAACCGTGGGCACTTTATCATGTTAATCAGATATAATCAGAGAGAACATCTATTGGTCGCAACGTAGAAAGACTCCCAACGGGACTAATGATCCTGTAGGAAACCCAGACAAAGTCCTACTGCTTCCTTTCCATGCTCTGCCATAACAGGAGCTGCCTAAATGGGTTTTGTTAGAACTTTACTTATGACAGCTTTACAATCCATCTCTGACAGGCTGAAAGACCCAGTCAGCCTGTAATTTGCTGACAATAGCCCGCGAGTAGGTTATGTCTGACAAACCATTCCACTTATTGTAACTTCTGAAATTCCTTTCCCTTCTCCTTTAATAACACGTGGAGCCAAGGGGAGATGACAGACTGACATCTCTGCAGAGAGCCTCTGCTTCAGGGCCATGGCTCTAGCATGGGAAGTGCCCGTGTGAACATCCTGCTGAACCGTGTATCTCATTTATGAGCTGCTGCAGACACCCAACAGCACGACGAAGATGGAGGAGCCACTGAGATATTATCTGTCAGCTGAAAAAGCAATTAATATGGACTGCAGTGAGGAAGAACTGCCTAGCAAGGGAGAAACGGAGGCTGTGAAGTCAGCTACAGATGTCTTTAAGGGATTTCTTCGCTTGGTCATTTTCAACTTGAACTTAAAACCGCAGCTGTTGGGGAAAAGCTGCTTCATCCTTTAGTTTTCTGCACCATCAATCCCCCAGCGTTTTCACCACCAGCTTAATAAATACCAACTATCAAGAGAGCTCATCCGCTCTGTCATTTGTCTGTTTTTTTTTTCTGTTGTTCCCTTCACTAAACAAGCAGGAAAAGTGTTTTTAATTTGCAAGGCTCAATAAATACCTCCTGCGTTTGCCAGGACTTCATTGACATTCATGGCTGTCCACAAAGCTGACTGACTGCTCACAGACATGGCTTATCTCCTGAAGGAGAAAAAAACCCTCAAACCTGCCCAAGCAAGATGTTAATCCTTCTTAATAAAATGAAATGAAATGAAAAGCAGTAGCTCAATAAGTAAGACTGTGGATAGTGAAAGCCCTTCAGCCAGGGTATGGTCCCAGAGCAGATCTCTGTTGACAGCAACACTGGGACAGCCTCCAGCGTTTGCTGCTGCCTCTGATGCTGCAGTCAGCATCACCTTCAGTTCTACTGACACAACTGCCCATGGGCTGTGCTGTGCGCAAGGTCATCCAAATCATTCCAATTCAAACGAAAAACCTCACAAGTGCTCCTTTCCTTGACTGAGGCTATTTGCAGTCATCTGGTTTTCCACACAGTCAGGGAAGAGACAGCACCGCACTGCTGCTGAGCTGGAAATGAACGGCTGGGAGTAGGCAGAAACTTATTAAGCTGGCACTAGCAAAAGACATGAACTGTGGAATTACACCTTGGATAGCATCAAATCCCATCTCTCTTGCTCAGCTGGTCATGAGGAGTTGAGATGAGTTTCAGCCTGCCATGATACACAGCTCTTGAACTTTGATGAGGAAATCAATACACTGAACTTGGAGATTCTTCCTCGAGTTTTACTTGGGTTTTATGAAAGACCCAACTTTCCCAACCTCTTGCATTAAAGGTTTTCTCACCAAACAATTCTGTCAACTTCAAACCGACAACATGCAAGAAATGGTCAAAGCCTCCCCGGATGGAATTCAGTATGATGAGAAGGTCTGCGGTGGCTTCACATAAACAGGCAAGAAAAGACACTTGGGTCATCTGGGATGAAACGAATGACATGACAAACCACCACTGCCAGGACTTGCTATGCTGATGATGGTACTTCACACATCCCTTCCCTTCTGTGCTTTGTTTAGCTGGACTGAAAAGAGCTACTGAGTTAGAGATGTGGGCAATGTTCCTCTGGCACAAGCAAACAGCTCTCAAATGAAGCCAGGCTGAGAGAGTTGGGGTTGTTCAACCTAGAGAAGAGAAGGCTCCTTAAGGGGAGACCTTGTTGTGTGGTCTTTGAGTTCTTAAAAGGGGTCTATGAGAAAGATGGGAAGAGACTTTTTAGCAGGGCCTGTTGTGGCAGGATGAGGGGTCACGGTTTTACACTGAAAGAGAGGAGATTCAGGCTGGATGTGAGGAAAAATTCTTTACAATGAGGGTGGTGAAACGCTGGCAGAGGTTGCCCAGAGAGGAGGTGGATGCCCCATCCCTGGGGACATTCAATGGATGTGGTCCTGGGCAACCGGGTCTAGTTGAAGATGTCCCTGCTCACTGCAGGAGGTTGGAACTAAATGAGCTTTGAAGGTCCCTTCCAACCCAAACTCTTCTGTGATTCCCTGATTCCCCACTGGTGAAACATCCCATTATGTATGCACAATAAACTGATCTTTTTAATTGCAGAAGCTTCTGAAAGCTTCCAGCAGGAAAGCTCTCATGGTTACAAGGTATTAGAACACCAGCTGATGCCAGGGAGGGACACAGATGTGCTGTACCTCAGACAGAACAGCCTCCACAAGGTACAATTTTCTCCGTGTGCTTCTGGAACAATTCATTATCAACAGGTTTTGTCCTCAGAATCTGGAAGACAAAAATACCAGAAGCTGTTTGAATCAGTCCCCTCTTTGAGTTGTTCTACAAAGAGGTAAATTAAAACACAACTTTGGAATAGTTCTTTTCCTCCACTCTCTTAA